TTAGAAATATGCTATAAAGCCAATTTACACAATCTTGTTTCTGTTTTAATAAACACTATATTTGTAAAAGTACATGTTTTTGTGTAAAAAAAAAAAATACTAAAAAGTTTACCAGCAATTAGGTACAACAAAAAGACAAGTTGGTCATTTTTACTATAATTTCTTTTTTTTTAGTTGTTTGGCTAATTTCTTTCTATTTGTAGTAGAGACAGGGTCTTGCTCTTGCTCAGGCTGGTCTCGAACTCCTGAGCTCAAGCAATCCGCCTGCCTTGGCTTCCCACAGTGCTAGGATTACAAGCGTGAGCCACTGCACCCGGCCTTTACTATAATTTCTCCATGCATTATATTTTATGATAAGAAAAAATAAAAGCATTTTTCCTTAACAGAGGTGACTTAAAAAACTCAGGATAACTTGTTCATCGAGCAAGCACCAGAATCATCTGCAGGGCTTCTTAAAACAGATTGCTAGGTCCCAGCTCCAGAGTTTTACAACGGTAGCTTGGAGGAGGGTACCAAGAATTTGCATTACTAACAAGTTCCCAGTTGATGCTGATGCTGCTGTCCCAAGAACCACATTTATCGCTAAATAAATATAACGCAAACTGTAGAATAGAAACGATAAGTAGAAATCAGTAAATTTTAAGAATATCATAGTTTATAAAGCACTTTCACGTCTATTTGTTCCTTTAATTTAAACTTCGTAACTGCCTATATACTATCATAACATCCTTATTTCACTTAAAGCAAAGTAAAGTGAGGCACAGTGTTTAAGCAATTTGCTCAAAGACATGTAAGTTAAGGCAGAGCCTAAATTCTAAGCCCACGACAAAAAAGGAAAAAAACACAAAACATCCATGGGATGTGGGAGCTCAGGGAACAACTTCCAAGAATCTTCACAGGCCTTCCCAATACGTACGTGCTTGGCCTGCTCTGCAATTTCAGCATGGCTCTTCTCCCACTTTGGGCCCTTGTTAGTCAGGTCAGAAGTCTGGGGTAAGCTGAGCCCCTCCAGGGGTACTGTGGCACCATCTGTGGGGCCTGGAGGTCCATCCAGAGAGGAATCTTGAGCTATGTGCTGGGGGGAGATGCCGCCTGCCCCACTAGAGGCTGGGGAACTGGATGAGGCAGGGGACACAGGATTGCTGCCTGTCATGCCGTCCGACACCATCTAGAAAAGGGGACAATGGAGAAAGCAAATGTTTAGCACTCTGCTAAATGTTTTAAGTACATTATTTTGTTCCATCTTCACAAGAAAAAACTGGAGAGTAAGGTATCAATCTTACATGTATAAACACAAACGTTTGGGATAAAGTTTAATATGGGACTCAAGATAGCAGAGCCAAGTTTATAGTAAATGCTTGACAGGCAGGAATTATGTCCTGACATTTACACAGTTCCTAAATCCAAAATACTACTATAACATAAGACTTCAAATTCTGATCCTTTCAGAGCCTCAATGATTTCACTCATATAAACAACTCCTTATTTTTCCCCCCATTTTCACAGCGAGTAGGGCAGATTCACCTATGCAATAAATCTGAACTACCACTAAATTCAACAGACACCAAAAAACCCCAAGCGACTTAAAACCTCTTCACTGGAGAGGTGGAGGTTGGGGGAACGGTCACTGTTCTCACACACCGACACATCACCTCACAAGGTACTGCACAAGCAATAATAAGTAGAAAGCAAAATCCTACTGAAACATCAGGGTACTCAGGGAATTCACGAAATTTGTTCCAGGACATAAGCCTCACACCACACCACTCAAATTTCTACCTCAGCTAAATGACAAAAGACTATCCATCACAAATTTTCCTAGTTGCTCAGAAAATTATAAATATCAAATCTGTAAACATCAAAAGCCTCCCGTACATAAACCTAGATCCATCCAGTTCTGAAAGCCATGTTTTTCCTACTACACACACTTCCTTGGTATGAGAAAAGAATGAACATTACACACCATCCACAAGACCTGTTCTAGTTTTGAAACAAGTGAAACTATTCTCAAAGTATACAGTCTTAGAGACATGTTGCCCCAACCTCCATTTCTAACCTGGACTAATTTAATTCAACCTTCTTTTAGGTAATAAGAACCCTTTGTACTCTTGGAAATCAGTATTACGTTAATGTCAAATAAAATGTGAGTATCAAACAGGCATGACATACTACAGCCCAGCCCACGTAAGCACCAAAGATTCTCTATACTCAGCTACCCGACAGCTAGAAACTGCCACATTTCTTCCAGCTCAGACTCAACAATCTGCAAAGCAGAAGCAAAGAAGAAACCCTCCCCACTTTCAAATCTGTGTCTGTACCTGCTCTTGATTATTGAAGGAAAAAAAAAAAAAGAACAAAAAGAACAAACCTGTGTCTGTAGGATTGGGAGCTGAGGGTGAGCAGGGGAGGGGCTGCTCTGCATGGTCCCACTCCCAGGCTCCTTGTTGGATGCCTGAAGAATGACTGTGTCGTTACCACCACTGCTGCTGGCCGAGGGGCTGGCGTCCGGCTGCAGGGCATGCTGGGAGCTGGCCTCATTCTGGGCCACCGGCCACCGGGACCCACCTTCCAGGGCCCGGGACCCACCTTCCAGGGCCCGGGGCCCACCAGGGCGTCCCAGCCTCCGCTCAGGTCCACCAGCCTCTGGAGCACCTAAAGTAGGATTTTTAAAAAGGGTATAAATTGGATTAAAAGAGACTTAAGAATTCTTTGGAAAAAAACAAGAATTACATTAAAAAATAAAGATGAACAGTGATTACAGCCTACACATCTTAAGCATTTACTATGTGTCAGATACTTTGTGTTCTACAACCTTCACATCTATCTACTTTATGAACACTTTTCACGCCATAACAAATATTTATTTAGTTCCTTTTACACACTGAGGATACAACCATGTACAAAAGATCCCTAACCTAAATAGAGATTACATTCTAATATTATCTCTACTTTTTAAGTTAGGAAATCAAGACCTTACGACTTACAGAAGGTCGCACAATAAGGAAGTGGTAGACGGAGGATTTAACACCAGATAGCCTGATGCCAAAACCATGGAGAACCTGCTACTCTCCCTGATAGAGCCAGGGTGACCAAATATTCCTCTATCCACAGCCCCAGTTATGTTGCACCACTATAAACAAAACCTCCAAAGAAAAACACATGCAAATATTCCCATAGCTCTCCAGAGTGAAAAAAATCCACAAGTGCTGACCTATAATTTTTCTCATTATCTCAAACATACATATTTCCCGTTAGCATCAATATAAAAATTGGCATCAAACTCCTCACCTGTGTGAGCTGAGACCACACCCCCTGTGAAAGTCTGCACTTCCACGGTGCCGCCGTACTGAGAGGAATTACGCCTGAAACAGAATAGGAGAAAAACAGGAGTGAGGAACTAATCCACATGTCAACATCCATCCAAGTTTACTACTAACTTCAGCTTTCTGAGACTTTTAAATATACCCAAATCAGTTCAAAGGCTAAGGGAAAAAAAGCTATAGTAGGAGAAGCTCACATTTCAAAATAAAAACAATCATGCTTTGTAAAAAAAAAAGAATTCTGTAGGGACATAGGATTCTGCCTGGGAGAAGCAGGGGAGAAGTGAAGCCAAAAAAAAAAGTTCAAAAACCTTAAGTGTAAAAGGCTCCAATCACAGAATGAAGGGCAAGTAATACAGGAAACAAAAGCTGTCACATCCATAAGCTCAAAAAGGTGCTGGCTGTCTGCTTGCCTTTCCAGTGAGAACTGAACACAGTCAGAAATAAGACTGGAATTCCCAGGAAAAACAAAACACGCTGGTCACAGGAGAATCCACCCAGGATTCAGGGTAGGGCCCTGTGAATCCTATACCTGCGCCATGAGCCACTTCCCCAAACACAAGAACTAGAGCGAGAGGCATTAAGGAGCAGTCAAATGTGAGGGAGGCCGCACTGCCAAGAACCATGCGCCGGAAAAAGGCAGGGTTAACCCACACAAGGCCCGGAAGTGTTTCCCCAGTGTTTAAGGAAATTCCTTAACCACGGTGCCGCCTTTGATGCACTCCCTCCACAACATATTCCCGGGAACCGAGCTAGCCAGAAACCAAGAAGCCTGAACTCTTGACCCCAGTCTTCGTTACTGTCTCCCAACCACTCCCAGCCAACTGACCCGGCGTGACCCCTGACCTCTGCCCAAGTTGCCACTAGCCCTAAGATGGCCCCGCCCCCTCCTAGACTCCCACCCCACCCAACGTGCGCGCCCAACTGGGGGAGGGGCCCGCGCGTGCGCGGCTGGAGGCGGAGTGAGCCGGCTGCGCGCACGGCCCGGGGGCTCCCGCCAGAACCCAAACCCAGGCACCCAAGGATCGCAGGCTGAGAAGCCCCTCATCCAAGCCCGTCAGGGAGCACCCCCATCACCAGACTGCGAAAGGCTGAGAGAGGGAGGGTGCGTGCCGCCAGGTCCTGGTCCCCTGACTGGACATGGTGGGCGCGTGCCCCGACTACTCGTCCCACGCCCCCCTTCCTCTTCCCGCGCGCCCCTGAGGGGGAACTGGGGTTGGTGGGCGGGCAGGAGCGCACCTGGGTCTGTCCTCTCAGGGCTCCCTCGTTCGCTCAGGCACGCGTGCGCAGAAGGGCGGGAGAGGAAACGCGCCAGGGCCCAGTGCCGGCCGGCCTGACCCCCTCAGTCAGTCTCTATGGGCGCGCGCCGACAGCCTCACGCACCGGCCCCGGGGCCCCGGCTGAAGGTGCGCGCGCAGCACCCCGGGAAGGTGGGAGGGGAGGCGGTGGCGGAATGATGCGCGCGCAGTCACCCGTCAGGGGAGGGGGAACTGTGGAGTGTCCGCCATCTTGTCTCCCTCTCCTTACCTGCGTCCTCGGGGGCGTGCGCACCACCCCCCCTCCCGCCGAGGAGGGGGGAGGGCCCCCTCTTGGCCGCCGCCTTCGCGGCCTTTAAACTCCCCTGGGGACCGCGGCTACTGCCACCGCCTTGCTGCCACTGCCTCCTCTCACGGCACAGAGATGCGGACGGTGGGTGGGAAAAAGGGGAGACGCTACTCCCAACGAACCGCCGCCAACGCTCCCGAGGCCTCACCAAAATGGCCGCCGCCGTCTCGGCCGCCACCACCACCACCACCACAACCACCACAGCTCGCTATCGCTGCCGCCGGCGCGGCCCGTCCTCTCGCGAGAGACAGTAACTGGAGGTCGGTGGGGCGGGGAGGCTCGCGTGCTAGCGTAGGGTGCCTCTCAAGCGCAAAGCAGGCTGGGAGAGGTAGTCCGCCTGGAGGCTCCGCGCCTGCCCGGCAGCGGAGCGTCTTTACCTTCTGCCACTGAAGCTACCTCGGGCTGCATTGCGGTTGCCAACTCGGACCACCACCACCTCTCTCTTTTTTTTTTTTTAACCGATCACCCAGTGAGCTGAAGTAAGTTAGTAGTGGAGCCTGGACCCTCTGCTTCCCATGGCAGCCTACTTCGGTAGCGCTGCCTCGTTTTACATGAGGGTGGTTTCCCGATAGCTTTCAAATACCTATGCTATCTGTTCACAAACTTTGTAGGTTAAGAATCCCTTAGAGCTGCGGTCCCCAACCTCCGGGCCCCGGACCGGTACCGTGGCCTCTTAGGGCCTGTTAGGGACCGGGCCCCACTCCCCGTCCATGGAAAAATTATCTTCCATTAAACTTAGGAACCGGGTGTCGCACAGCAGGGGGTGAGCAGGGGGGGCACGCAAGCGAAGTTTCATCTGTATGTACAGCCTTTCGCCATCGTTTGTATCACCACCTGAGCTCCCTCCCGCCTTGTCCGTGGAAAAATTGTCTCCCATGAAGCCGGTCCCTGGGGCCAAAAAGGTTGGGGACCGCTGCCTTGGAGAATCTGGTACCCTCACCCCAGAATAGAGCAATAAATAACAGTTACCTTCTGCTGTGGCTGCTTTGTGCGTTGATTATCTCTTTTAACCCTAAAAGTGTCTCATTTTACAAGCGAATTAAGGTTCAGAGGTTAAACAGTGACGGAGTCCAAAGCCAAGATTCATAGCCTAGCAGACTAAGGCACAAGAATGCCCATGCTTTCACAAATTTTACTACCTAAAGCCCACCCTAGAAGACGAGGTTAGGAAACCCTGATAAAACTTTATTTCTTTTTGAAACAGTGTCTCTCTCTGTTGCCTTGGCTACAGTGCACTGGCATGATTATAGCTCACTGTAATCTCAAAGTCCTGGGCTCAAGGGATCCTCCTGCTTCAGCCTCCCGAGTAGCTGGGACTACAGGCATGTGCCACCGCACCCAGCTAATTTTTAGCATTTTTAGTTCTTTGGCTAATTTCTTTCTATTTTTAGTAGAGACGGGGGGGGGGGGTCTCACTCTTGCTCAGGCTGGTCTCGAACTCCTGACCTCAAGCAATACCTCCTGCTTCCGCCTCCCAGAGTGCTAGGATTACTGATGTGAGCCACCACACCTGGCCTCATTCACTTCTTCCCCTTGCTCCACACGGTTTAGCTCTTCCCTGTAAAGAAGGGATTTTTGGTCCCATTTTACAGATGGAATTTGGGTTGAGTGAAAATTGGGTGATGGCCATCTTTTTAGTCCCTCTTCCCATAACCTCAGAAGAGAGGTGAGGCCAGAGTCTGAATAGGTTGCACCTAGGCTTATGCTACTAATTCCTTGCTATGTGACTTTGAGTAATTCACTTACTTTTTCAAGCCTCAGTTTCCTCATCTCTAAAATGAGTTGCTGATGTAAAATTGCTTTGAAAGCTCTAAAGGACTACCTAAATGCGGGATATACTGGGGACCTATATTTCAGGGCTTAAACATGATTTTAGGGTCCAGTTTAGTCTTCAGATGTGCTTTACATAGTGGGCTTTTGTTTTGTTTTGTTTGGGGTTTTTTAATTTAATTTTATTTTAAAACGGATTCTCACTCTGTTGCCCTGGCTAGAGTGCAGTAGCGTCATCTTAGCTCACTACAACCTCAGACTCCTGAGCTCAAGAGATCCTTCCACCTCAGCCTCCCAAATAGCTGGGACTACAGGTGTGCACCACCATGCCTAGGTAATTTTTTCAGTTTTTAGAATTATTAATACTTCAGGCAGGAGAACGAGGTCTCCAACTTGCCATAGGCCCCACCATTTCCAATTGTCTTACTCTGGGCAACTTAACACATTTGTCATATCTACTAATATCTGGCTCCTGAAGGCAGTTCAATTTTCGATCTCTTATTCATACTCAAGAATGTCAGTGAGCATGCTCTCCTGACCAGCATTCCCTCTGCCTGCCTCCTGCCTGTCCTGCTGGGTGCAGTGGAAGAAACAGGGGGGTCAAGATGGCACAGTCCCTGCTCTCAAGAATGTAATCTCATTGAGGATGTTGAGCTGTGAGCTTGGTAAAAATCACCACAGAATGTTGTGATGCCTGAGGGAGAAGGGTGGTCAAAGAACTCACCAAGGGTCAGAGTGGATACCCAGTAGGGTATGGGAGAAGGCTTCCTAGAGGAGGTGTCATTTGAGCTTGGCCTTGAAAAATTTAGATACGAAGGTGGGCACTCCAGGAAGATGACACAGCCTCAACAAGGTCAAAGGTTGGGGGAAATTGAATAGATCAGCTTGTCTTCTTTATGAGGGAGCAGGTTGCATTGCTGTTGGAGAAGTCACCTGGATGCAAGTGGCTAAAGGCTAGGTATGGGGCATTAGTTAAGAGGTGACAGGGAGCTATGGAAAGTTTTTGGGCAGGGGATTGGCATGGCCTAGGCTCCACTTTACAAAGAGTGATACAACAGGATGCATGGATGGTGTGGCTGTAATAGGAGCTGCAAGGTGGAGATAGGGAGGATATGAGCAATCACCCAGGTGTAAGGGAGCCACTGGCCAGGAGGTGGCAGTGGAGATCGGGGGGCAGAGACACTGAAAGGGAAGAATTAGTAGAACTTGGCAGAGAGTTGATTGCTAGTGATGATGATCCTCAAACAGCCATTCCTTCTATGAAGCCAGCCTTTCTCAGGCTTCTCCTACGTCCTATCTCCCTGGCCTCTTCATCTCAGTCTCCCTTACAGGACACTTTTGGACCCCTCCATCAATTGTTGGGGCTCCTAAGGATCCTTTCCCCAACTGCCTTCTCTCATCCAATGTGTTCTCAAGGGCAGAAGCAGATACCATAAACCTGAAGATGCTTAAGTTTCCAGGACCCCTCCCTTGCATAGGCCTTTCACTGCTAGAAGTGGCTGTGGGTTATGGAACCATCTGGGTGAGATGGGGGAGCCAGCTTGTAACCAGAAAGCATTGGCATGTAAGCTTTTCTTTTCTTTTCTTTCCTTTTTTTTTTTGGAGACAGGGTCCACGGTCTCACTCTGTCGCATGGGCTAGGAGGCAGTGGCATCATCATAGCTCATCGCAACCTCCAATTCCTGGGCTTAAGCGATTGTCCTGCCTCAATCTTCCAAGTAGCTGGGACTACAGACATGCACCACCATGCCCGGCTAATTTTTTCTATTTTTTGTAGCGACGGGGTCTTGCTGTTGCTGGGGCCAGTGTTGAATTCCTGAGCTCAAGCCATCCTCCCACCTCTGCCTCCCAGAGTGCTAGGATTACAGGCGTGAGCCACCGCGCCCAGCCTGATTGGGACAATTGATGCTTCTCAGACTTACGTAAAGTGCTATGCAAATGAGGCTTGCAGATGAATGGAGTCCTCCAGCCTCCTGCTCTCTTCTATCCCAACAGCTGCTCTAACCTTTCTGACAAGTAAAAATTCTGGATCCTTGGCAATCTGCACCAGCCTCCTAACTGATCTCCCTATGGCCATTTTAGACAAGGGGGTCTCTGACGAGGTGGCAGTTGAACAAAGATCTGAAAAAGGTTTCTCCACACAGCAGCCAGGGGAAACTTGTCTAAGTACAAATCTGACCATCACTCTCCTACTCCAGGTCCTTTCATGGCTCCTGTGAAGCTCCTTTCTGAGACCCCTGATTCTGCATGGTGAGGCCCTGGCAAATTCTGCAGCTTCATCTCCCCCAGCCCTCTATGCTCCAGCCCATTGTCCCTTTCAAGGCTCTGTTTTCCACGCTGGGCTTTCTCACACTTGCTTCTCTTTCCTCCACCCAGTTATAGCCTACATATATCCTGAGTCCCTGGGTCACATCGCTGCCTCCAGAAGCCTTCCCTGCCCTCAGACTACATTGTATCGCTGTGCTTTTTTTGCTTCTCGGCGCGTTAACAGCAGGAATAATTCCTTGGGTTCACATCTGTCTTGTTTACTTCTGTGCACACCCATGTATGCCCATTATCTGTGGAGTACCAGTAAATATTGAGAGCTCGGCCTTGCCTGATGCTTGCATATGCACATGATAGCAAAAACCGACATATGCTAAATTCACTCCAAAAGTGTTAGGATGGGCACAGTGGCTCGTTCCTGTAATCCCAGGAATTTGGGAGTCCAAGGCCAGAGGATTGCTTGAGGCCAGGAGTTTGAGACCAGCCTGGGCAATAGACAGACCCCATCTCTACAAAAGAAAAAAAAGTCAGCTGGGTGTGGTGGTATGCACTTGTAATTCCCACTACTCAGAAGACTGAGTCAGGATGATTGCTTGAGCCCCGAGTTTGAAGTTGCAGATGCCACTGCACTCTAGAGCCTGCACAGCAGAGTGAGACCCTGTCTCAAAATATATACATATATATATGTGTAAAATAATGACAAACAGTAAGCACCAACCTGTGTTTTCATGTAAACAAATTCACTTAATTCTCACAATTACCCTATTAAATAGATTATCATCCCCCTTTTCCAGATGGTAAAAGGGATTATTAAGGAACTTGTCCCAAGTTGCATGGCTGGAAACGAGCAGAGCAGGGACTTGAATCCCGAGGGACAGACTTGACTCACATTTGTGCTCTAGCTGCTGTGCAATACAGCCTATCAAATCCAGGTCTACTATGGTCAGGCATTATTCTAGAACTGGGGAGATCATGTTGGAAAAACAAGTATTTAATAAAAAACTCAAGGTTCCAGCTTACATTCTTGATGGGGGAAGACAAAGAAAAGAGCCTATAAAGGTAAGAGTATAAAATAATGGTGAGTAATATGCATATGAAAAAGTAAAATGGGATGGAGGAAAGGGGGTGAGGGGCAGGGAAGATATTATTTTAGACAAGGTTGTCTGTGAAGTCCTCTCTAGTGTGGTGACATTTGAACAGAGATGCTTTGTGGGAAGAGTATTCTTTTTCTATCTTTTCTTTTTTTTTGAGATAGGGTCTCTCTCTCTCTCTTTTGCCTGGGGCACTGCTACTGCAACCTCCAACTCCTGGGCTCACACAATCCTTCTGCCTCAGCCTCCTGAGTATCTGGGACTACAGGCGTGTGCTGCCATGCCTGGCTAATTTTTCTTATTTTTGTAGAGATGGGGTCTCACTATTGCCCAGGCTGGAAGAAGAGCATTCTAAGCACAGGTAAATAAATACCAAGACTGTGAGGCTGGGTCCAGCTTATCCTGCCAAGAAGCCACCAGGAGGCTGCAGGGAGCAGGGGAGCAGTAGGAAATGAGGTCTGAGAGGAAGGTCAGGCCTAGATCTGGCAGGGCTTTGAAGGC